CTCTCTTCTTAGTCTGTCTTGATAGGCTGTTCAACTGGAACAGCTGCTATGGCTGGTATCTGCCAGGCTTAAATTTATAATTTCTCATAACAAACTGTAGCTATCTGCTCTTTTCAGGAGAAGTTGGGTGTTGGTGAGAATGGGTCTTACATTGAGAAAACCCATTGGCAAGTCATTCATTCAATTGGAGGGGGCTCTTGTGGCCGTTGTTATCTTTGCCGTGATTTGTCAATCCAATCTCTTTTTGCCATCAAAAAGGTACATGATTTTTTCAAATAAATTAAATAATTTTTGTTTTAATGTGATAATTTGGTTTTGTTAATGGAGTTTATGAGGTAAATTAGCCACTACAAAGAATTTCAAAGCTGACATTTTGAGCATTAGCCCTTTGTCAGAAACTCTTTAAGGTGGCTAATTTACTCTATCAACTTAGTTGAGAAAACCAGATTTTCTTGTTTAACTATGCCAGTGATACAGTACTACAATGATATCTCTCTAGAGCTTTGTCAGAGCAAAAGGCTACTGGTCAAAAAGTCAGCTTTGAAAACTCTTTAAGGTGGCTAATCAACTCAGTTGAGAAAACCAGATTTTCTTGTTAAACTACACCAGTGATACAGTACTGCAGTCTCTAGAGACTTACATGTACCCCCTTCATTTACATGCCCTTAAGTTTTAACAAGTTTGTCAATTTATCATTTATTTAAAACTACTGCTGTTAAAAAGTTTTCAAAGGTGATTGGTCATCAGCAGCCAGATTTGCAGTTTTTAATGCTTATAGGGAAGTGTTTGAAGAGGACAGTTAACACTTATCCCCTTAAGTCATCTTGTGACTGAATTTCATGCATTCAATACTGTCTGTAAACATACACAGGATTAACAAATTGGACCCCTGCTTCACAGCTGTCTGTCAGTTTGATAACAGACCGAATTGGACTCCATTCACTTTTAATACCATTGAAAATCATTTGGTTTTTACTGCTACTCATTCATTCATTTTAATGCTTTGTCTCCAACATTCATAATAAATAATTAATGATCAACCTTCAGTATGTGATGATATATTCTTATGTGATATTTTTTGACATGCAGATTCCCATCGGCAAGTTTGAAAGTAATGAAATTGAAATTTGGGGAGGGCTGTCTGGACGACATCCAAACATTTTGGAATTGTATGGTGCCATGAAATACAGACAGAGTGGCACAGTGATTATATTCATGGAATATATGAGTGGTATGCACAATTTTTTTTGTTTTGTGTATATGTAACTTTGATTTTAGTACAGGGTCCCCCGATTTCATTGTGTTAATTTGATAAGTTGGAAATGAATGTTAGGATACATGCTGGGTTACCTATTGAAAAAATTGTCTGTTTTGCATCCTGATGGATACTTGGGGCCCTCATGAAGTTGTAGTAGAGTAAAAGTTTTGTTGTGTGATGGACTTTCCCAAAAACTCCCTTGCAAAATGTTTAGTTCTAGCCAGGCTATTGTGTTCTTTCCTTTACTAAGGCACTTTACTAACATCTCCCTCCCTCCGTTCGTCAAGGATTACAAAGGGGTACTTGCAACTGGTAGTGAAACTTGAAAAAATTTGCTGGGTAGAAGGAGGAGTAGCAGTACTCCTTACGCTTGAAAATTCAGCTTTAAAAGCTCTTTGCAGTGGCTAATTCACATTATAAACTTAGTTGATCAAACCAAATTATTGTGTAATACTCCCTACCCATGCACCATTAATTTTCTTACTCTGTTCTTGCTTCAAACCACTGCACAGTTACAAGTTCATCTTATGTTTTCTTGTGTTGATTTTGTATATAATCCTTGTGCAGTAGTGTGATTGTGTTCATTCATTCTTTTAGGTGGCTCTGTTGAAGAGTATGCTGGACAAATGGAGCACAATGAGATCTGGGCAATCCATGTCCTTGGAAAAGTTCTGTCTGCAGTAGACTTTATGCACTTGCAAGGAATACTGCATCGTGATGTAAAGGGTTAGTGTATGCATGTTCATGGAGCTGCATCATGTTTGTGGATCTTGAAAAATTTGGGTTTCATTTTTTCAAGTTTGTAATCTTCTTTCTCCTTAATCATCTCTGTTACATACCTTTTGGGATATTGTTGTTGGTATCTTTGAAGTGTCTTTCTGTTTAAAGGAAACTCTGTGTGGTCATTGAAATGAATCAAAACATTGTGACATAATGGAAGCTAAACTTATGGCTCCCATTTAGTGCTGTCCATGGGCTGTTTTAATGGCTGTTTGGATGCTGCCATAGTGGCTTGCTTTTGGTAACATAATCTGCAAGCATTATGAAAAGTCATCTGTTAGAAAATTAAACAGATTACATTGTCAATTTAATGCTTACAAATAGACTACTTCAATTCTTTAAAGTCATTTTTAAATAAAATGAAAAAAAAAATTTGCTGATCTTTTTATCTCTTTTATTTTTTGTAACATCAACCTATGCTGTTTGTTTTTTGTTTTTTGTTTTTGTTTTCATGTTGTCAGCTACAAGCCACATCACTTTGCATTTGTGAGAATGAATGAAATGGCAGTCATAGTCTAAATTAGCAAACAGGTGTCCAGATCAAAGAGCAGCTTATGCTTGGTTATTCCAATTTTGGGCTTCCACTAAATGCTCATTCAGCAGAGTGTGTTTACAAGAACAAATTCACTTGTATTCATTCTGTAATTTTTTTATGTCAATTAGTGTGGTTTTTTTTTTGTGCACAGGTGGTAATGTTCTTGTGGATGAGACCGGTCAACATGTGAAACTTGCTGACTTTGGAACAAGCATCAGATGTGAGAGCTTTCTTCAGGATAACATCCCAAGAGGCACAGAACCTTTCATGTCCCCAGAGGTAAACGTAGCAGTCAACTTAAATTGAAACCTTGTTGTAGAAGTGTATCACACACCTGTATGTGACTAAAGGGGGTTGTTTATTTCTTTGATATAGTCATTGTGGTTTTTCCCACTTTCTTATGGTCTATAACAAATTAATTTGTAAAATAGCTTGTAAATTTGTCTAATCAAATTCCATTGCGCGAGTGTGCTTCATATTCCTATTGTGCACGCTCATGATGTCAGCAAACAAATCCCTCGAGAAAAAAAAATTTGGGGGTTGAAAATGTTATAAAACAATTGGTTCATATGTCAGCTGTGCATTCAACGAGATATGAAGCACTTGGGAAGTTTGGAGAGCACTCAAGAAGCTAGATTTGCCCTTGGCTATGCCTCGAGCAACTCTTACGCGTCCAAACTTCCCGCGTTCTTCATATCTCGATGAACGCACGCTGATTTATGAATCAATTGTTAATTGAATCATGGCTAGTATCTTGATTATTGTTTACAAATTGAAAAGTTTCTTTATCTCATATCATCAGATGTGTCGGAGTGAATGCCACTCTTTTAGTACAGATATTTGGAGTATCATGTGCCTGCTTTACCAACTGCTGGCAGGACGTCCACCTTGGGTAGATTCATGTCATGGTTCACTGATCTATAGGGTAAATTTTACCATGTTTGTTATTCTCCTTGTATACATGATACTTCCCTCCGTGTTGATCATAGCAGTATGCAATATATGTATCACTTATAAACCTCCAAATGATCTAGCTTACTATAGAGTCTCTGTGGCTCATTGGTAGGGCAGCTGAGTTTGGAATACAATGGTCTGAGGTTGTCATATCTCATGGGACTCAGAATTTTTTTCTGCACCTGACATAAAAGTTTTCAGTTTGCATAGATATTATATGGTATGTTCACCTTCCTTAGCTGCATCTATTTTTTCAACAGATTGGTACGGCTAAGGAACCACCATCTTCTCCTCCATGCAGCCCAGAGGTTGAGGACCTCTTCAGCCAGGGCTTCATTCTAAAGCCAGCTGATCGTAAGACTGCAAGGGAGCTGCTGAGACATCCAGCAATAATGGCAGGTAAGGTAGCCTTGATAGTATCCACAGGGATGATTTCGATGTAATTTAGTGCCCAAGTCTAGTCAACTGCCCTCTCAAATCATTTTTATTGATAAAAATGCATTTATACTATTTTAAGCCCTCCTAAGCTGCTAAATACTTAATAACCATGAAGAATCCATTTCTTGAGAAAGACATAAGCACAACTGTGCTCCATTCTCCTTTAAATTTTATACTGGACAGTCATGTGGAGTGGTTGCTTTTCTTACTGGCTTAAGCTTCCCAGAAGAAGTCGCATGCTGATCCAATCCCAAAAAGTAACCTAGATTTCTTGCTGTACTTTTCAGCCTGGTAAAGTGGCTCTGTATGCTTTCCATCAAGACTGATTATTTGGAAGCCAGAATTTTGTCATCACAGGGCAAGATAAAATGTTCGTGTTCAGTACAATTTTTGAATGACACACCACCTTTTATGTTAGTTTCAGCTCCAGATACATCAGGTTTTCTCCTTCCAACCTGGGGGGACACAGAGCAATATTCTGATGGTGCTTCCAGCATTAGCTCTTTCTCAAGTAATGTATTGAAGTCCATTGTGTCAGAAATGTCTGCGGACCAGCTACTGTGTGATGATTATGCATCAGATCTGGAGGGTGATGATGCAAACTTCAGTGACTGTTATGATGATGGCACTGATGATGATGATGGCACTGATGATGATGATGATGATAATGATGATGATGATTTGGCAGAGGCAGATGATTTTCAAGTGGATGGGTTAATCTTCCCCCCTAATGGAGCTTGGCTGGGTGCTGATCTCTCTGTCGAGCAACAGTTTCGATCACTTCAAAGTGGTAAGGACTTTTGAAAATTACTTCATAGCTAGAAGGATTGCTTTGTTGCAAAGGAAACCCTTAAGTTTGTTTTAATTTTAAATTAGGGGCTCTAAAACTGAAAGTTAGACACTTTAATTGCATAGTTCCTCCCTCCATACAGTGACAGAAATGGCTCAACTGGCTCCTCAAAATTTGACTTGATTCTCTTATTGTGGTGAGGGAGGGAGGTTAATGAAGGTGTGCACCCCTCCCCCCCACAGCAGCCCCAAGGAGAACTAGTACCATTTGACATTGATACAGTAGAAGGTCAATGAACAGACAGGACAAACAGGATAAGATGTTCTCACCCAAGAATCCTTTCAATATCTAACAGGGGTGGGTAGAGAAGTAGAGAAAAGTCAGTCCCTAGAGTTACTTGCACTTTGTCTCTGATTGTTTTGTTTATCAGATTTGGTTCTCAGTCTTTCGGCTGATGAGTTAGAAAGACATGTGCTGTCCAATTTGGTTACTGATGTAAGTGAAAATGATGTGAACCAACTGAGAGATGACAATTTTGATGTCAGCCAAGTTTTAGGTTGGTATATATATATATTTTTTAACTTATTTTCATACCAAGTGGGACAAATAACGTAAGATTCTGTTTAATAGTTTTCATGGGTAATGTTGGTGGTAAGGAATTTATTGACAAAGATTCTTTGAAGGAGATGACACAAAGTGCATTTTTTTAAGTTGGGAAAAGTTTCTTTGGACAAATGCTAATCTTGATGATGAGAAAATACAGAAGGTAACATACGTTTTAAATTTCTTTTCCAGGGTTAAATCACCTCGAAATACAAAGTATCGATGATCTGCCCCCATCAAGTACGCCCAATGATTGGTCGTATTCCATCACAGGTAAACTTTCAATCTTTGAATCTTAAATACTATTGATTAGTTCAAATTTTTAGAAAAAAATGTTTCACTATTGTTCTGCTGGTGTGCAATGTATTTAGATTTACATTTCCTGTGTTGTCTTCATCCTTTAACACCTTTGGATGTGATTGACATGTTACTTCTCCCTAAAATATCCGTACATTATTCAGCAAATATGTGATAAGAATACTCAAGCTTATCAGGTAGTAGTTGTTATCTTAATCTAATACCAAATTCTCATAACTAATGTACTAGGAAATGTGTAGCAGCTAGAGGGGAGAATGAACAATTAGATATTGGGAGTTGTGGGTTTTAGCTGTATGAAATCTGTATGTATATCAGGCATTTAGTCTTATCCGGGACAGGGTGATCCGGGACAGGGTGATCCGGGACAGGGTGGTTATCCAGGACAGGGTGGTTATCCAGTAGTGACTCATTATATCAAAACAAATATCCATGGGTATCTGGTTTTACTTATCCTTCACGCTATAGTTCATTTTTTATTTTGGGTTTTACATGACGACTTTATAAATGGTGCTGTAAATTTTCCCTTTTTAAATCGTGCATAGGTTAAGTCTTCTTCTGTAGTTGTTTATCTCACCTTTGCGTCACGTCATCGGAATACAGCATAGATGTCTTTTCTCTGAGTTCTTATTGGCTCTTTGCCATATGTAGCTTTGTTCTGATTGGCTGTGTTGGTTCTCTGTTTGGTTTTACAACACTCAATCGAAAAATGCTGTAGAAACAAGCTACATGATTGTATTTCTGATTTAGCTGATTGCTACTACAATCGCACTGATCTCCAAGAATGTAGATTTTATATATTTACTTATTTTTTGGATGAGTAATCTGTAGAATTAATGCCTATGGTTTTTGATATTTTAGATCTCGCAAAGATTCGCATCACAGACAACAGTGGAAAATGGCTGTTTTCAATCCGTGAGAGACCCACCACAGCTTATGGACGTCTTGCTGAAGACCTTCACGGCATTGTAAGGGTTTGAATCTGCTATCTCTCATCCTCTTTA